CATCCCCAAAGCTGTGGAACCCCCACCCAAGTGTCAAAAGAAAAGAAGCCAAACTCTAAAATAATTTAAAGAGGTTTATTCTGAGCCAAATTTGAGGACCATGGACTGGAACCACGCCAAAGAAGCCTTGATCAAGTAAACTCGCCGTGGCTGGGTTACAGTTTGGTTTTATACATTTCAGGGAGACAGGGGTTATAGGTGAAGTCATAAATCAATACATGGAAGGTGTACATTGGTTAGGCCCCAAAAGGTGGAACATCTCAAGGGGGGTGCTTTCTGGTTATAGGTGGGTTTAGATTCTTTTACTTGCAATTGGTTAAAATGAAGCTTCTGTCTAAAGGATGGGAATGTTTTAAGATAAAGAAGTCTTGAGACAAGCCACAGGCCATGTATTTGTTGAGTAAATTGTTGACATGCAGGTTTATCTTGTATGGCCTTAGGCCTGTTAAGGCATTAGGAAGGATGTTTCCAAGAAGGGAGGGGGCGTGATGAGGCATGTCTCCCCACTCATGACAGGCAACTCAGTTTTAGGGTATCCCCTTTGCCAAGAAGGGGTCCATTCAGTCAGTGGAGTGGGGAGTCTTAAGATTTTTAGTTTATTCACACTGAGCACCAACTTAAAGTCAAAAAATAAAAAAAATAAAAAATAAAAGATTTTTAGTTCACAGGAGGATGTCCCCAACTGTGGCAGGGACATCTTGTGACACACAGAGTCCCAGCTTCAGCCTCTATACTTACACACATACCACATGCCCTTCACAAACTCACACTCACACCACATGCCCCCCACTCACACCCACACCACATGCTCCCACACACTCACACACACACTGGCACATGTCCCCACAAACTCACACACATACCACATGCCCTCACACACACACACTCGCACATGCCCCCACACACTCACACACACATACTCGCACATGCCCCCACACACTCACACCCACACCACATGCCCCCCACTCACACCCACACCACATGCTCCCACACACTCACACACACACACTCGCACATGCCCCCACACACTCACACACACACACTCGCACATGCCCCTCACAAACTCACACTCACACCACATGCCCCCCACTCACACCCACACCACATGCTCCCACACACTCACACACACACACTCGCACATGCCCCCACA